CCACGACCTACCATGGATGCATCCAAGAAGGCATAGTCGAAGTCTGGATTGGCCTCGAGTAGTTGACGCCTTAGGAAGGAGGCGTTTTTGACATCCTTGAATAAGGCCACGTGGACAGGGAAGGCCTCGTAGTGCGGGATTGTGAAGGTTCGCACGGACGCCATGTTAGATGGGATTGGTGTTGGCGTAAGTTTGGGTGTTGAAATGCACCACGTCGCGGGGGCGGAACCTTGTTGGCGATGTGATGTCGTCGTGCGTGTTTCGTCGTGTGATGGAAACTCTAGTGGCGTCTCTGTGGTTGATGATGCTCTGTGGTGATCATGGAGATGGACGCTGCTAGGCGGTTCGTCAGTCGTCGATTTGCATTAGCAATCTCCAAGGATATCAGATCGTGGGTGAGTCTAAAGCTCGACGGCCGCTTTGGGCAGGAGCGGGGACGGCCAAGCTAGATTTAGTCCCAGAGAATGAAGGTGGCACGGCGAATCAGGACGGATCATCGTGTCGATCGCCAGAGAACAAACTAAATTCGCCGAATATGTCAGGGCAGGCACCGTCACAGCCGTCTAGAGGTCCAGGTTTCTGAGCGCCATGTGGCCAATAAAGGGCGGACTGGAGTCGATAGCTGGAGGGCTTGCGGAGAATGGGCCTGTTCCCTTGGACGCATCGCCGAGAAACGCGCTTTCACTCGCACCCTTTGACTCCCAGCGCAGCCAGCCCTCACTTCTTCCTCCACTCTCTCGCAACCCGGCCGACGAGACTGCACAGAGGTCGCGCATCGTGCAGCGACGCTCAATTCCCGCGCAGCCGCAAGCCTCGCTAGAAGTCATGTGTCTTTCGTTTGACAGGTGATAGTCGCAAGCCACCCGAGGCGCACCACCTTTGCTGGGTTTACTTGCATCGGTCTTCTCCATCGGCATTTCCCGTCTCGTGCCTGTTTCGACGTGCATTACGAAAAGTATGGCCACCAAGCGACCCCCGGACGATGACCCCAATCTCGTCAACAAGATCCAGCGCATCGAGCATGCCGACCCGCTGAGCCCACAACACCGCCCGCCCTCCAACAATGACTTCTCCGGCTCTGTCAAGAAGAAGCTCGCCGACTCCAAGCGGACGGGTCAGGCGTGCGACCGCTGCAAGGTACGTGATGCAGTCAGGCGCGTGCGATGAAGGAGTCTTGGTGCACGTCAATTGGTCTTGACGCTCGTCGTCTCACAACATTGGCAACCACTGCGCCAGCGACGTCATTGCCTGGACGCGCCTTCCTAAACACCATGACACCACTAACCACCACGGCAGGTGCGCAAGATACGCTGCGATGGCCGTCCCGAGGGCTGCACGCCATGCGAACAGAACAGGACGCCATGCCGCACCACCGACCGCATCACCGGACGCGCCACTGTCCGCGGCCATGCCGAGGCCATGGAGTCGGAGAACTCGTACCTGCGCGCCCAAATCGCTGACCTCCAGGCCCAGCTGAAGGAGCACAACATCGAGCCCCGCGCGCCGCCTGCCTACAATGCCCTCCAGCCGCCCAGCCACCCGTGGTCGTCCGCCCCCAGCGACAGCCAGGCATGGAACGATGGCCCGCGACGCACCAGCACCTCACCACTGCCCGGCTACGCGCCAGCCGGCACTCCAGGCAAGATCGAGACGCTGCCACAGTTCAAGCACGGCTCCATCGGCGATAACTACCTCGGTGTTGCGGCGGGAGACTCGCTCTTGAGCCATATCAAAGGCACCTCACTGTCAATCTTCGGCACCGAAATCAACATTACCGACTTCATGGCAGGCGAGGAAGAGTACGAGAGCTCGCCCATGTCCTACACGACGCTGATCGACATTGCCATTGGCAGTCGCCACGTTGAAGAGCCCCCGCTACCGCCATACCCGGAGCTGCAAGAGTACGCCATTTGGTATCTGCGTTCACTGAACCCCTACACGATGCTTGTCCACAAGCCAGTCTTTATGGATTTGGTAGGCCGACTACCCATTACCACAGTGCGCCCCGCTAATGCCCACAGATTTGGAGATTCGGCAACGACTCCAGCTTCGTTCCCACTGCACCCCAGATCGTGACGGTTCATTTGATGCTCGCGACCATAACCTACCAGATCGCGACCCGCAACAGCCAACATAGCGGCAGCACCATGCTGGACGATTCGCATGCCCACTACATGTATGCGCTGAGTTTCTACAAGCAGCTCATCCGTGGAGACCACGGCTGGGAAGACGTTCAAGCCATGGCCATGATATGCCACCACCTCCGGACCTTCCCCAAGCCCGGTGCGGCGTGGATCATGACCTCGACTGTCTATTTGTTCGCTGTCCAACTGGGTCTGCATAGATCTGTCAAAGTCTGGGTAGACGGCACCGGAGAACTCGGCAAGCTGGACATCGAGATGAGGAAACGAGTTTACTGGACGCTACACGCGCTGCTGGTCAACCTTAGCGGAAAGCTTGGACGGCCGATACCCATCAGCATAAGTGACATCGATGTCGAATTCCCGGATCCAATGAACGACTGTCTGCCTGGTGAGGAAGGCAAGCTGGACTCTTTCCATCAATGCTCGTTCCAAGTTGGCATCCAAATGGCTAAATACATTGTCTGGGAAACGGAACTCTACAAGATCATCTATGCTGTCCGACATTCGCCGAGAACATACCTGGAGGGCTTGAAACGCCTCGAAGCCGGCATACAACAGTGGAAAGATGACCTCCCTTACGAGTTGCGCGACCCGTCGCATGCATCTGAAGATGACCACATATTCGCCTTGTATCTCGAGTACTGGTATCAGGCGTTCAACCTACTCCTACACCATCCAGCCGTTTGCAGGTCCACTGACACGGCCATCATCAATTCTAACCTGGACAAGTGCCTGACTGCATCGCAGAAGATGCTGCACAACTGTACGGCGATGATGAATAAGAAGAGTCTGGATATTCCCTGGATCAACACGGTCGTTTACATTGCTGCTGCCTTCACCACCCTCTTCATCTCGTCTATGCGGCAAGAACAAATGTCGCCTGTGGATATGACAAAACTCAAAGGCGACATGGCAGCCTGGGTCAATGTGCTTGGCGAATGCGACCAGTTTCTGGCATCTGGGAACAAGCTCAAAACTGCCGTCGCAAGGATCGTCGACCAGTCGCTTAGTAACATCAACGATAATATTGTCAAGCGAACTGCGACCGAGTCTCTCGCTCGCGTAGCAATGCATGCTCCACCCCGATCGACGAACACCGCCCCCACGTATGACAACAGCGGGTACCGCGAACAGTACACAACCTCATCCAGTTCACCCACAGACCCTACCCTCACATCACAATCTGTGGGTCCGTACAGTGGTCTTCCGGGAAACAATGTCCATCCATACAATCTTGGTACCCCGGTGGCCCTTCCTCAGCATACGAGCAGATCGTACGAGCAACACGCATACAGCAATGGCGACGAGACCAGCATGCACGCGAATCATGCAGCGGCATTGGCAGTAGCAGCCTCGGGTAGCATGTCGCAACCTTCCACAGATGCGTACGCCTACAGTAATGCGCAAATTGCCAACAACGGGCATCAGCCCGCCTACGCGGCTAATACCTATGCTCCTCAAGACTGGAGTCAATGGACACGAGCATACATGCAGCCACACAGCCAGCCCGGTGAATATCTAAATACTGCAACCACCCTCATGACTCTGGGTCGAGATGGCGGATCCCAGGGAACCGGGAGCGACGGCCAAGGGCTTGTCCAAACATCCGGAGTCCAGGGACACGCTCCCAGCCATTGGCCAGATATCGCATTCCCGAACGCCGCGACTGGTGGCAGCCACATGGCTCAACATTGAGCTGGGAAACACGACACATGGCATATAGAAGGCTGTGTACCTTCGGCTAATCTACATGGGTATTTGATCTTTACGGTCCGGCGTAGTGGCAACCTTCGATACCCGGCATCTGGAACACTTTGTGGGGTTAATGTATGGATATGAAGCGGCTCTCTGCGAGCTGCATGTGTTTGGTAATTTTAATTGCAAGATCTTTTCTTATGTAAAATACTTCGGTTGGAGGCCAAATTCCGTTCTTCGGAGAACGAACGGCCGAACACGACACGACGACCGGCTGATGTTGGTCAGCAAGGGATAGATGTGTTGTTGTTGTTGAAGGGATACGGGATATTTGCCGAGTTGCAAACAAAGGACCATTGCAGTCGAAACAATGAAGATAATGATAATATCGAAGTAGGCCCTTCTCTGTCGTAGCCTGTCTGATAACAATACTTCCACAAACCATGCCTTCTCTTCCTGCGAACATCCACGGGTCGGCCGTAATCATCGCCACAAGATCTACTCTCCGTCCAGACCTCACCCAGGTAAATTGCCCGCCACCCGTCGCCTCGGTGCTACAGTGCGGACCCTGGGGAGTGCGCGCATCAATCTAGCAGCAGCACTAACCCGTGCCACCTAGGCTAAAGTAGGAAGCCGACTTGACGACTTGGCACGACCCCACCAATTGACCTTCCATTCGAGCACCAAGCCCGATAAGCTTCTGTACTTCGATCCACTGCGCTTGGTCACTACGTAAACCTCCTTCTGCTTTGGAGCTGGCGGTACAGACAAGCACGACAGATCTCCTAAGCTTTTTTCGGTGCTATCTGCGGTTTAATAGGCGTTGAGTTTAATGACTCGGTAAGCCTTGCAGCCGATGATCCTCTGGCCCTTACCAAGGGCCGCAGGATGGGCGGCAAAACGGTATAGCGTCGACGTTAGCTATGTATATATGGGCGGCCTGAGGATGGCGAAGATGGATCTCTACGCCGTTCTTTCGTCCTTGAGTCGCTGTCGTGGTCTGTGCCGTCGATTGGGCTGTGTGTCTGACAACAGAAGCTGCGCAGAAGAACATCTTCGCTCTTCTCCCGCCGCCAATACCTCACTCGCGCGTATCTCTTGCGGAGGTAATCCGGGTACAACAGTTCCTATACACGCATCGTTACTTCATTCATCCTCAACATGCGGTCCTCGGTCTCCGTCGCGGCAGTGGCCCTTGCCCTGTTGCAGGGCACCAACGCCTTGAATGCCGCCATTCAGCGCAAGCTTAATTTGCTTGCCGATATGGGCATCAACCCAGATGGCTCGCCCATGGTCACTTTCTCGGACGACGCCGACAGCGCTTTCGATGCTTCAGCTCTCAGAACCCTCAAGGTTGCGACGACGTCAAACAGCCCGGCTGTGTTGGCTGCTGCGCCGCTCAGAAACATCACTCCGGAATATGTCGAGCTGCCACTCGACCACTTCGCCTACAAGAAAGGCCAGGATCCTTCTTACCATGGCACCTTCTTCAACAGGTACTGGGTCAACATGGATGCGTACAAGCCTGGCGGTCCCGTTTTCCTCTACGACGCGGGCGAGGCAGATGCAGAGCCGGGTGCGCGGACCAGGCTGCTGAACGAAACCAGCTTTTTCAAGCAGCTCGTCGATGATTATAACGGTATTGGAATCGTATGGGAGCACCGCTTCTACGGAAACTCAACACCCACGCCAATCGACCTCAACACGCCAGCCGAGGCATTCGAGTTCCTGAACACGGAGCAGTCGCTTAAGGATGTCGACGCCTTTGCTAGGCAGTTCAGCAGGAAGGGTGTCAATACTACGCTCACACCCGACAAGACTCCTTGGGTTTTCGTTGGTGGCTCATACCCCGGTATGAGGGCCGCTTTCATGCGCAACATGTACCCCGACACTATCCACGCGTCTTGGGCCTCTTCAGCTCCCGTCGAAGCTTCCGTTGACCAAAGCTTCTACTTTTCACCTATCTGGCGCGGTATGCATGCCAAGGGCTTCGGAAACTGCTCGGAGGATATCCATGCTGCTGTTAACTACATAGACAACATCATGGACACAGACTCACGCGCAACCGCCAAGCTCAAGGAGCAGTTCCTTGGACTTGGAGCTGCCAACAACTCTAACCCAACCTTTGCTGATGCTCTTACAACCCCCTTCTACCTATGGCAGTCTTACGGTATGGAAGGTGGATCTGTGGGTCTTCGTCAATTCTGCGACTATCTCGAGAAAGACCCCAAGACGAACACTACAGCTCCCGCGGAGGGCTGGTCCAAGAGCAAGGGCGCGAAATGGACGGTTGATCGATGGGCGAGCTACCCTGTCTTTGCCAACAACACGAACGATTTCATGGAAACCGAGTGCTCGGGCAAGTTGAACGTGACCGGTAACTGTGACCTGAACCAGAGGTTCACAGACCCCGCTTCCATTGCCTGGACGTGGCAATACTGCACACAGTGGGGTAAGTCTTCGTCCTCTCAGTCCCAACTTCCCTCCTTGCATAATACTAATTTACCCATCAGGATACTTCCAATCCGCCAACCTCGGATCCCAGCAACTCGTGTCCAAGTACAACTCGCTTGAACACCAAAAGGACATCTGCCACCGCCAATTCCCCAACGCTCCCAAGTCGCTCTTCCCCGAGTGGCCAAACACCGCCCGCACCAACAAGATCTTCGGAGGCTGGGATATCCGTCCTTCAAACACCTACTGGTCCAACGGTGAATTCGATCCCTGGCGCACTCTCTCCCCCGCTTCTGCTGAGCCCTTTGCCCCCAAGGGCGTTCAAGTCATCCAGGACGTGCCCAAGTGTGGAAAGAAGACTAGCAAGAACGAGTTATTCGGTTTGGTCCTCAAGGACGCGCAGCATTGCTACGACTTCAGGACTACGGGTTCTACCGTGCCCGATGGACCCGTTAGCCGGACGTTGTTCAGGAAAGCGCTAAGCGAGTGGCTGCAGTGCTACAAGCCAAAGAAGGGCCAATCGAAGCCTTGGAATGCCTAGAACGTAGATGCAGGTCTGGAAAAGGGCCGTCCGTCCCCTTGCTTCGGGTAGAAGAGGTGGCATTGCTACATACGTATTGTTCTTCCCTGCCACACCTTACTTAGACGTCATGATAAGTCTTATTCTTATCATCTGATCCTATAACTTTGACCTTGCCACTTTTTCGCGTGACTGCTGTTCTAGAGATTTATCCAAGCGAGCTCCCCATTCCCAAACTTCTCCTGTGAATCTATCGTTCTCCCACGCCGAGTACACATTCCTCTTCTCCTCCTCACTACTAACCCCACACATCTCCCCCCACACCTCCAGCTGCTCTTTAAACCCTGGATTCGGGTCGCACACTGGTCGTCCCTCACAAAGCTGCTCCAGCGCTGCGGCAGGGGTGATGTTGTACTTCCAGATCAAGTATGCGCAGACGAGTGTTGCGGATCGGGACTTTCCCATTGCGCAGTGGATGAATACGCCGCCGTTCTCGGCGTTTAGGGCTGAGTCGATGTACTGGACGGCGGGGGTGAAGTCTTGGAGGAGATTGGTGTTTGGGTGGTCTTCTGAGCGGATGTGGAAACTGAAGATGAAGAATACATCAGTAAACCGAGATACCACCTTTAGAACGAATCAATACATACTACAGCGTCGGTTAGTACACATTCTCAAACCAACTTCCCAAACAATCTTTCCAACATACCTGTTTCAAATGCCTAAACTTCTCCTGTAGTAACGGATCGTAATCTATCACCGACAGAACGTGCGTTATGCCTGCTTTATCTATCAAGTCGCCTTGGTACAAGGCGTACAGGCCGCCGATGTAGAGTTTACCCGCCCGGGGGACGAGATCGACCCAGCCCATGCCTGTGTGTCCTGTGCTGCCGTGGAGGAGGAATGACATGTATTCTGGAAGCTAGGTAGGCAGGATGATGGGGTATGAGAGGTGGAGAATGGGTAAAGTGATGGGTGTGCGATGGTGTTGATGGCTATGCGAGGACGAGAGTGTACGAGTGGGGAGAAAGTACCGAGGTACGATTGGAACTGGACATCATGTATTTCTTGATACAATTTCTACATGTAGTTGCACGCGCCTTTCGTATTCTTTCGAAATTCCTCGTTGACATACGGTGGGTATCGTCGCTGCAAAGTCCGAACGGTGTTGTGTGAGAAGTGTTGCCCGCAATCGGCCATTGACAGCCGGTGAGAGGAGGCCCCCACGTGCGTGGTGCGCTAGACGGCGGACGCGCCTTCCAGCCTCGCAATGAGACGCGTCAAACTTCACACCTACCATCTGGCATCATCATGCTCTCTTTCAAAGATCGCGCAACATCATCACGGCATTCGTCCTGTACGACGCGAGCTACTATGCAGCTTGACTGTGAGAATGGGCTTCAACGATGTTGATGCAGGCGGCCTCACGCCGGACATGACGTCAACGCGACTCTGCCAGCATCACCAGATTGATGGAAACACCAGCATGCGCTCACCCATACGGGCTGACGCGAAGTCCGGATTCCCACGTACGAATTGAAATCAGCGGCAGGTCGTTCACACGTTGTTAGCGGATCGAGCGGCCTCATGTCATTTCCTTACACTTCTTCATACATTTCGTGGCTTATTTTAAGTCATCGATTTGCCTACTGCTGAGATGAAGAAGTCGCCATCTCAACGCATACGTGCTTTTATGCCTGCACATCAGAAGAGCATGGACTGTTCGGGAAATCAGCAAACTTGGTCTACTCCGTGCATAGGTGCCTATGGTGAGGATATTGTGTAACGCTATAGGGCGCGGCTGCATCCAATTGACCAATATAGTCTCTGCCTCTCGTCTAGTGAAGGGGAGCAAGGAAAACGGTTTTCCTAAATCGGCTAGCCGCAGCCAGATGCAGGTCCAAGCAAACAACTATTTCGACAGGAATATCGCTTCGTCGTCTCTGGGCCCTTCTCCGTTGACACAGCCCGCAAAATGTCGCTGAAGCCAGTTCACATCACGCAAGGGCCATTCTTCTACCCAGTCGGCAACACTCCAGCTGTGTGCTTGACCCAATCCCTACCGCGCGAACAAGATGCCGCCCTGTTACTACTCGGTTGTGGAGACATCCGAAACATCCTCTTCACTGCTTATAGCGGAGCTGGATCTGGTAAGTGTTGTTTTCGACTACAATTTGTACCCGCAACTACTGACGGGAACACAGATGATCGAAAGCTCGACTTCACATGCTGCGACATTGAGGCGGAGATCATTGCGCGCAACGTACTCGCCCTGACACTCATCCTGGACGACACTCAAGGTACCCACATACGACAGCTATGGAATCTGTACTATCACGTCTTCATTGATTCCGAATCTGCTGGTGTTCTGCGCTCTCAGTCGAAAAAGCTGTTGGAGCTTGCACATTCGTTGAAAAGTTGGAATGAAGGTCCATATGGCACGACCATTCGATTCTGTGACAGCATCACACTCGAGAACGCTACGAAGCTTTGGGCACTGTATGCTTTGGAACCAGTTCAAGACGAGAAGTACAAGGTGACACAAGATATGCTGAAAGATCAGTGGCAGGCTGCCAAGCAGGTGCAGGCCCTCAAGATCTCTGGGACGGCGTTCGTGGGAGACGGCATTCGCGCATTCGCCCCGCTCTTGACCCAAGGCTTCGAAGAGGCTGGCAAAGCTTATACGACATATTGGAAGAGTGGGACATGTTTGGAGGACAACAAGGTCACCAAGAACCCTACGATTGCCAACCCTATGTTCGTCTGCCATCGCAGTGGCCTCGTGCTCCACTACGGTACTAGCCCGCTCTCCGGCTTCCACCTTGCGCCCATGTATGCTCGACTCGCGGCGGACTCACCCTTGTTCGTATCAAGTGAGACGACAAAAGGAAAGCTGCCAAAGCCCATGCAGATAGCGCTCGACCAGCTATCTGCCTGGTGCTCGGCGTTCAGGAAAGCATCCACGCGTCTCACCATTCGATATGTTAACTCCGACGCTGTCGCGTTCTGTCACGTTATTCAACATCAACAAGCACACGGCGAATCACGCACAGCTTGTTGGTATCGCAACGTGTGGACATACACCCCACTAGTCTTAGATGCGCCTGAATACGAGCAGGGCGGATCTGCACCGGCAACCTTCGATGTTATTGACACATCCAATTTGCTCGACTATGTGGGCTGTCTCAACATTCTTGCAGCATCTGCGTCGTTGATCCGCCAAAACGCCTCGTCCATCCTCCGCACGGAAATGCTCATACCCTCTGAAATCGACATGGCAGCTTCAGCCAGCGCTTTACTCTGTGGACACCTTCCAACAATCGCTCTACTACTCGGTCTAAAGCCCGTTCAATACTGGACAAATGCAACCTCCGTTTGGCATCTGAACCCCGCCAATTTCCCCGACTTGGACAAGATCAGTATGTTCACTGCAGCCACGTCTAGACCCATTGTGCTTTGGAAGCCATTCGATACTTCTAGAATTCGTTACGATGCAGCTGAGCTAGCTAGACTGCTCATGTCTATGTATCTGAACATGTTCCAGGACGAAGGATGGGCCATCAAGTTCTCAATGCTAGGCTTAGACAATGCAGAATTGAAGAAGAAGAAGCTTACCGCATACGAACTGTACACTCGAGCAAGCCTTGTGTCGCTGCTTCAACACATCAAGGTATCAAACGTCGTTGACTGGTCTCCATTCATGCATGCTCTGGTCAAAGTAGGCATCATGAACGACACAACCTTGAACATGGGTCCACACCACTTGCAGTCTCTTCTCGTCTACCTCGACATGCTCGGGGTATGGAAGGTAGAAGATCCTTTTGAGTGGTGGCATCCACGAACCTTCGAATTGGGCGGTCCGTTCCGCAAATGGGAGGACATCCCTTCACTCATGTGCGTCACACTTGTCGTTCCTCACGACAAGGTCTCGATGTTCGGCGACCTTTCCAACGGCCACGGTACTCCCTTATGCCAGCTCCAGCTCAACTCGTCGATCAGTCCGAAAGAAGCTCTCTACACGGACATACAGATGGGTTTTGGAACGATCGAGACTTCTGGTTCGGCGTTCACGAATGACTATCAAGTAACAGTACGAGAAGACGACAAGGGCTGGAAGGGAAAGTCGCCATTGATCGTATCCACTATGGTCTCCACGTGCACTCTCACCGAAGAGGAGGATGATGCTTGTGGCGTTACCTTTGGACTCAAGAATACTCCAACAGCTCAGCTGCAGTTCATGTCCACATTTGGCATGCTTCTGCATGTGCACCGATCTGCTGTCGGCCAAAAAGACGTCTTTGTTTCGCGATATAGGCCAGGCTTTCAAGGATACGTTTCCGTGAACAAGGTTACCACGTCCAAGGCGACTGATGGTAGGTCGGACATCTCTACGATCATGGCTTTTGCTAACATGGATCTAGTAACCGACGTCATCGCTACCATACATCCGCTCCTCAGTAGCAAGAGAAATGAAGTCGAATCACTGCGAGTACATTACTCTGTAAATTCAGGAAAAGCAAAAGAGCTTTTGCAAAGTGGAGCCATTGTCTCGTTCGAGACTACGACGGCATTCACACTACGGCTCTTGATTGGGAAGACGTATCGAATGGATGTAGTACTTCCATTCCCACCAAACGCGGCCAGTGCCAAGACCAAGATCGCACGCAAATCACTATGGATAGAATACACGGCTGCCGTGCAGAGTGGAGCAGCAATCCTTCGGCGCCCAGACACCATGATCCCTGTCCATCTTAATGAGCAGTAAGTGACTCACGGTCATTGCATTGCATTGACTAACATATCTTAGATACGGAGTCTCTCTCGAACAACTACATTACGTTCAACCCAATGTTTTGCCTAAGCTCAATCTTGGTCAGCAGTCCTCGTACACCAAGTGGATCGTCTTGCATGCTTCTCCCATAGCTACCATGTCTAGAGGAGAGCTGCGAACCTACAAGAAGTTCACCGCTGACGAGTCATCAACCATGCCCGGACGCCTTGGTGTGAAGGAGACCCTGCAGAGT